GGGGTGGGCAGAGACAGAAAGGGAGAGGGAATCTTGAGCAGGCGCCCGCTCGGTGCGAAGCCGGAGGTGGGGCTCCATCTCCTGACCCGTGAGCCAAAATCAAGAGTCAGATGCTCAACAGACCGAACCGCCCAGGCTCCACTGAAGAGGGGATTTTCCGCGGTGATGGAGAAGATGTGTATCATGCTTAGCGTTTGGGTTACAGAGGTCTGTGCATTTGTCAAAACTCATGGAATGGTGCAGGTAATGAAATGCGTGCATTTCACTGTGTGTGAATGTACCTCCAAAAAAGAACATAAGAATATTTTTTTAAGATCTGCCTTCGCAACTTTCAAATAGACAACACAGTGCCATTAACTAGTCCTGCTGTACGTTACATCCCCAGGAATTATTTTATAACAAAATTCGTACTCGGTGACCCCCTTCACCCATTTTGCACCCCCGCCCCCACCTCTGGCAACCACCAATTTGTTCTCTGCCTCTGTAAGATTGTTATTAGAGCGGTAGACTCTAATAGCGACCACAGAGATATTCTGCATCCAATCTCCAGCTTTTGCAAATGAGGAAAATGAGACCTAGAGATTTAAGTAAATGGGGGAAATTACTGACCCTGTCGTTTTCTAGCAATAAACGTCTCTTGAGAAATTATGATTGAAAATAGCAAGCTACTGTGTATATCATCCAGTTCTCAGTCGGGGTCACCTTGTCCACAAAAATCTTGTTGAGATTGACTCAAGTCCCTTTTCCACCTCCTGTGGAAAGGCCAATGTCTTCTCCGAGATTGTACATCCCCCGTGGGGGGCAGGGGAACTTACCATCACAGGGTCACTTCTGGCTCTGAGTTCTTGCTTTCTCTGAACACATGGACTCTCTCACATCTCGCCTTCTGCAACTCTTTTCTCTCCTGCTGACCCAGTGTGGAAATCAAACACTTTTCTTTGGCTGTGTGTGTGTAGCAGGCTCCTCTGAAGGTTTGGAGCAGCTAAAGGGTTTTTTGTGTTTTTTTTATTTATTTATTTTTGAGACAGAGAGAGACAGAGCATGAATGGGGGAGGGTCAGAGAGAAGGAGACACAGAATCTGAAGCAGGCTCCAGGCTCTGAGCTGTCAGCACAGAGCCCGACGCGGGGCTTGAACTCACGGACCATGAGATCATGGCCTGAGCCGAAGTCGGCCGCTTAACCAACTGAGCCACCCAGGAGCCCCGCAACTAAAGGGTTTTAAATGAAGGATGTAAATAGCCTAAAGTTAGAAGTCCATGGTCTTGAAAGGGCTTCAGTATCACAATGGCATTGGTATCCACCAACCCCTCCCCCCATCCTTTCTCAGCATAAGTTGCAACTCCCCACTAATCAACATCTTCCTGGTCCCATCCCTCTCCCTTCCTCTTTTCTCTCTTTATACAGTACTTTTAGTTATCTCTTTCTCCTAATCTGTACCTTCTGGACCACCTTCCACTCCTAAACTGTTTATCAAAGTGTTTTCCTACACAAAATATTTTCCCCAAGAGGAACTCTGGTGCCAGCTATTAAAAGCATATGTTGCAACACAGTATATATCTGCATATTCTATTTGATTCAGTCCACAGTATAGTCAGTAAATATGAAGCTTGTGCAGAAACAGAAGCAAAAATGAACTGTTGGGGCCTCAACACGATAAAAAGCTTCTGCACAGCAGAGGAAACTGTCAGCAAAACTAAAAGGCAACCGACAGAATGGGAAAAGATATTTGCAAATGACGTATCAGATAAAGGCTTAGTATCCAAAATCTATTTAAAAAAACTTACCAAACTCAACAACCAAAAAACACATAATCCAGTGAAGAAATGGGCAAGACACATGAATAGACACTTTTCCAAAGAAGACGTCCAGATGGCTAACAGACACATGAAAAGATGCTCAACGTCACTCATTATCAGAGAAATACAAATCAAAACCACAATGAGATACCACCTCACACCTGTGAGAATGCCTAAAATTAACAATTCAGGCAACAACAGATGTTGGCGAGGGTGTGGCGAAAGAGGAACCCTCTTGCACTGCTGGTGGGAATGCAAACTGGTGCAGCCACTCTGGAAAACAGGATGGAGGTTCTTCAAAAAAATTAAAAATAGAACTACCCTACGACCCAGCAATTGCCCTCCTAGGTATTTATCCAAAGGATACAGGAGTGCTGATTCAAAGGGGCACGTACCCCAATGTCGATAGCAGCACTATGGACAATAGCCAAAGTATGGAAAGAGCCCAAATGTCCATCAACTCATGAATGCGTAAAGAAGATGTGATATATATACACAATGGAATATTACTCGGTGATCAAAAAGAATGAAATCTTGCCATTTGCAACAACATGGCTGGAGCTAGAGTGTATTATGCTAAGCGAAATAAGTCAGAGAAAGACAAATATATGATTTCATTCATATGTGGAATTTAAGAAACAAAACAGATGAACATAGGGGAAGGGAAGCAAAAATAAGATAAAAACAGAGAGGGAGACAAACCATAAGAGACCCTTAAACACAGAGAACAAACTGAGGGTTGCTAGAAGGGTGTTGGGTGGGGGCAGATGGGCTGAATGGGCGATGGGCATTAAGAATGGCACTTGCTGGGATGAGCACTGGGTGTCATATGTAGGTGATGAATTACTAAATTCTATTCCTGAAGTCATTATTACACTATACGTTAACTAACTCGGATTTACATTAAAAAAAAAAAAAAAAAAAGGCTTATACACATGACCTGTCCAGGCTACCTGCATAGTGGGTTCAATTATGAGAACTACTTAGTATAAATGAGGAAGCAATTGATCGTAGCTGGGATTTGCTGTCTGAAAGAAAGAAATTCAGGTCTCCATGATCGTAGCTTACATTATGCAGAAGAAATGATAGCATTCACGCAATAAAACCCAGAACAAAATCTGAGTTAATACTTGATAGCAATGACATCCTTATAGAAGCAACACCTGGACTTGTCACCTCTAGCAATTTGATCACAACTCTGCATATATAATGAGCACATAAATAGAGTCTCCTTTACTCCCGGAGAAGATAATACTGATCTGCTATCGGCAGAACACATGTTTTTGTAGTAGGGATGATAGGCTCACTTGACCCATCTGGCCCTCATCTGGTTTCCCTTGTGACCAGTCACTTGCATTTACAAGGCAGCTGGCCAGGGTTGTAGTGCAATCTACAGCCATGAAGAAGTCTGCAAATGCAAGGTCCCAATGCATAACCCTCCTTGTTTGGGAGAAGTCGGGACCCCAGAGACACAGCTCAGCGGGACAAGCCACTGAAGGAGAATGATGACAGCAGTGAAACGCAACAGCTGCCTTCAAGTAAAGCTGAAGGAGGGTGGTCACACCAAGGAAGACTATGGGCAACTGAAGCATGGCCTTAGGAAACCTAGCGTGGCTATGGAGCCGGCAAGGAGTGAGGACTGACAAAAATGGTTTGTTGTTTTCACTGGAGACTTTGGATCATTTCAGGTAGTAAACACACTGTGCAAATCTGCAAGTAATAACGGGTTAATCTACAGACAATATGGTCCTGAGCCTCAGTAAAGACACTTAGCACATCTGGGGCAGCTGGGTGGCTCAATCAGTTGAGCGTTGAACTCTTGATTTCAGCTCAGGTGGATGATCCCAGCCAGGGTTGTGGGGACTAATCTTCCATTGGGCCCTCGCTAAGCATGGAGCCTGCTTAAGATTCTCTCTCTCTTCCTCTCAGCCCCTCTCCCCCACTAGCATGCTCTCTCTCTTTAAAAGATAAAGACTTTTTTTTTAGGGGCGCCTGGGTGGCTCAGTCGGTTGAGCATCCAACTTCGGCTCAGGTCACGATCTCGCGGTCCGTGAGTTCAAGCCCCGCATCAGGCTCTGGGCTGATGGCTCAGAGCCTGGAGCCTGCTTCCGATTCTGTGTCTCCCTCTCTCTGTGTCCCTCCCCCATTCATGCTCTGTCTCTCTCTGTCTCAAAAATAAATAAACGTTAAAAAAAATAAAAATAAAAGATAAAGACTTTTTAAAAATTTTTTTAAATAAATTGAAAAAAAAAAAAAAACAAAACCCGGAGACTTAGCACATCTGGTTCAAAGTCAGGCATTTTCCCTGAGTTCTCAGTCTTGGCTGCTATAGCATTTGACTTTGCTGGCCACCTTCCTTAGTGGTTCATGACCTTGGTTCTCCTGAAAGCATACTTCAGTGTGCTCACCAGCTCTTCCCCCTGCTCCTTCATTGTGGCAATAGTTCCCAACATTCAATCCTACCCTCTCCATTTATAGGGTTTCATCTCTCAGTTCTGGTTGACACACAGATTTCCCTGACTAGTTCTGATCCCCAAGCTCCACTCCTGCCCCAAGTTTGCTGGGTCCTTCCTCACCTCGTTCTGTCTAATGTTCTCTTCACCTGGGATGCTATCCCCCTCCCCTAAATTCGACCTGTATTCTGCAAAAATGAACTCAGGCCTCTACATGAAATCTTTCCAGGTCATTCCTGCTCACAATAGTACCAGCCTACTCTGCACTCACAAAATTTCCTGCCTATACCACCCGCTTTGACAACTAACCATACTGCCTAGTGGCAGCTTGTGGGTTGTTGACCCATTGGCCTTTGTCTTTTCTCCTTACTAGATCTCAATCTCCTCTGATGAACACTTATGGGTATTTCCAATACGTCTTTATAATACCTTTTATATAAGGGCACAGTATTTTTGACTGATGGCTGGCTCCTTAACTTTTCTCCTGAGTTAACCCTGCTCTGTGTGGCTCTCCCCCTCTAGTGCTATAGAGGACATTTACAGCCTCCTCATGTAAATATCCCTGAAGCCTATAGAAAATCATGGGCCCCCATATGTATTCGGTGCGAGGGTGCCTCACGAGGAAGTTCCTCCAAGTGACTTTTGGTAGGGAAGGAGTTCGGAGGTAAGTGGTGCTGAATTCCGACGCTCAAACTCACTACTAGGACCTAGAGCAAAGTTTAGCAGGTCATGAGATCAAGGTAATGCATCCCGTCCAGCTTTTTAATGCTTAAAATGTGAGAGGGTAAGATACAGTAAGGGAAGGTAGAATCAAACAGAAGCAATAGGAAATGAAATGCAGGGCATGTACGTGTAGCCCTGGTCAAGTACTATATGGCGGTCAGTGGGCTTCAAACCTACCCTCTCTCCACTGTTCCATGCTGGGGGAGCTGGAACCCCACAACCCACATTTCTCCCTTGTCTCTGGCTCGTGGGTGCACTCATAGAAGAGCACAAGGCTGGAAGACGAGGAAGCCACTGCTCCCACGGTCCCTTCCTGTCAGCATCACCCAAGCAGTGGCCCTTTGGCCTGGTGGCCAGAACTTGTCTCCACCTTCTAGCTGCACTTCCAGAACCAGCCCCCTGGCGCCTCCTCTCCCTCCACCCCAGACTTAGCAGCAGGAACCAGGCAGTGCCTTTCTTCAGAGGTCTGGGTCCCACCTCCAGGTTCCTTCTCCTGGCTGCTGGGTTCTGAGGACCCCGCCCTCCTCTCCTCTCTCTGATCTCTGGCCCCAGAGGCACTAGCTGCTTTTTGCAATTACTACTTACATGGTGACTCCCGTGTTCCTTTTAAATTTTTTCAGCCCTCCAACACCTATTTAATCAATTCCCTATGCGAAGTTCTCTCCGTGGAAATACTTCCTTTGGCTTCCTTTTGCCTGACGGCTGGACGCTGACAAATACGGATTGTGAAGTGAAATATATCTCCTGTGAATGTCGATCCAGAGGGTTTAAGAAACACTATCTCAGAGGAGTGGGAGAGTTCTTCACCAAACAGATGCCCTATGTGCCAAGGGTCCAGTCCTTCCACAGACGGGTGCTCTGCGTCTCAGGTCTGTGAAGAGCAGAGACCCAATTCTGCCACAGCAACTGTCACCGTTGGACCCTAGGCCTAGTGTGGCCTTAAGAATCACTGGAGATGAGCTTACAGTTGCCTACCACGGTTTGGCTGGAACCCCAAGCTTCATGTGGACTCTGACCTCTCTCAGATACGTAGAAATGCAGCTTTATTTTTAATTTTTGGTAATGTTTATTTTTGAGAGAGAGAGAGAAAG